ATACATACATACATACATACATACATACATACATACATACATACATACATATATATATATATACACACACACACATACATACATACATATATATACACACACACAGAGATATATATATAATGTAAGCAGTTAGCTTATATAATGTAAGCAGTAAGCAGATATATATAATATATATATGAAGTTAGCTTCCTCCCATAATTGGGGCTTACCAGGGGTTGTAAAATTTTATATATATAAAATCAAGTACAGTGGTCACAATAAACATCTTTATTTTTAAAAACTGTCTTATGGGGGGCCCCTGGAAGGATGGGAGAACACTTGCAAGCATTTTCCCTTTTACTAGAAGGGTTTTTAAAATTTGAATGGAGAGAGGAAGTTGTTGCAAAGAAAACTTTATTTATTTATTTCATCAAGCATGAATTAGATAACAGATATAACTATAGACATGATTATGAATACATGAAATGAATACGAATACAAGGAAATATTAGGACAGGGATGGTAGGGATGCTGATACGCTTATGCATGCCCCTCAAAGACCTCTTAGGAATGGGGTGAGGTTAACAGGAGACAGTCTAAAATTAAAGTTTTGGGGGTTTGGGGAAGAAACCACAGAGTCAGGTAGTGCATTCCAGGCATTGACCACTCTGTTGCTGAAGTTGTATATTCTGCAATCAAGTTTGGAGTGGTTTACTATAAGTTTGTATCTATTGTGAGCTCCAAATGATTTCAAAGTGGGTTACATATGCCAAAAAAATTTGGACGCAAAATGGGTGAATTTATGCTGTATAATTTCATATTCAGGGGATCTGGAGAGGGCTTAATATTTGCCTTCCACACTCTTTTCCACTGTTTTTGTTGAAAAAGAACATCCCAAAGCTGAAAAATATCCATTTTGCCATCCAATTTTCACAGAATGTTCTCAGAATGTTGGGGAAATATAACTCATGTAAGTCTGGGGTCTCCCCACCATCACCTTAAAAATGAAGGTGCATGAAAGTGTTTTTTTATTAGGGCAGCCTGGTCTAACCAAATATAGGACGGAGCATACTGCTTCCGCTTTGAAAGTGTTTTGCCTGAAAGTCTGCAGAGCATGGAGACAGCACTAAGGGAAATGTAGCTCTTCCTTTCTAATAATCCCCAAAGGAGTAAGTACTGAAACAGAATTGTCTATGAGCAATGGTGGGGTCCTAGTAAAGAACTGACCAAATAGTGAGGGTACTTTGTGACTCGACAAATGCGCGCACAACAAAAGCACACCGATGAAACCACGGTGCGAAAACCGCAACGTCATTAACACGCCCACAACAGCGCGCCCACAACAGCACGCCGACAGAAGCGTGATTTAAGTTAAGGTAAGGGTTAGGTTCAGGGTTAGGTTTAGGGTTAGGGTTAGGGTTAGGTTCAGGGTTAGGTTTAGGGTTAGGTTTAGGATTAGGATTAGGGTTAGGTTCAGGGTTAGGGTTAGGGTTAGGGTTAGGGTTAGGGTTAGGGTTAGGGTTAGGGTTAGGTTTAGAGCGCGCTTCTGTCAGCGCGCTGTTGTCGGCGCGCTTCTGCGCTCATTCGTCGGTGCAGTTTAGAACTTGCGATTTTCTCACCACGGTTTCGTCGGGCACGCTTTTGTCAGGCGCGCTTTTGTCAGTGAACCAGGCTACTTAACTATGGTCACCCATTCCAGACTTATTTTCAGTACATAAGTAAAATAGGGACATGTTTACCTGATTTCAGGTGTTGGTATTCCTACTACAATGCAGTCCAACTGCACTTTGGTTCCTTCAGAGACCTCTCTGCTTTTCAGTTTCTGAGTAAAATGTGGTGGTTGACCTATGGGCTCCTCAGAATAAAAAGGTGCAGCTGATGTCTCTGTGGTTAATACTGGAGTTTCTAAGGTGTGGACCACTTCCACATCTGCCTGTTGAGGATAAGCTGGGTTTTCCAGTGAAGGCTGAATTTGATCTGACTCTTGAGATATTGGAACACAAGGCCTTTCCCTGTTTTCAGATAAACTGTCTTGATTGGCCTTGTGCTTAGATTCAAGTTTGCTCCTGTAGTTTTTGCATGTCTTGGGCCTGATTCTTTTTGAACTGTGTGCTTTGAAAAGAGAAGAAAGCTCCTCAATAAAATCGGCAGCCTTGTTGAGCAACTCTTTCTTTGATTCTGTCTCTGACCCAAATGCCTGCTTCTTTGGGTGGTTTCCTGAAGTTGGCGAAGCCGTAGATTGGCACTGCTGCTTCTTTGAAATAATATTTTCAGAGTTTTTCAACTCGGAGGGTAAAAACACATGGATCTGCTGTTCTTCTTCTTGGCTGTTCTCAGGTGGCTCTTGATTGATAGCTTGTCTGGCCAAATGCACACTCTCATCTAGCTCTTCTTGGCTCAAAAAGGCAGAAAGATCTGGCAGTTCATCCTGGCCAGTTACCTCATCAGAAGCCCTGGAGGCACACCCAGAATGGACAGAATGCAGAGAAGATTCTGACCTGCTCCTTTCACTATTACCTTGATGGCTGTTTTCAGCTAAATAGCTCTCTCTCAGAAGTTGAGTTATTGAAGTTGAAGAGTCAGAAGTATTGTCTTGCATGCTGTTAACAAAGAGTACAGATAGGACCATAACCTCATAAAATATATATATTTCTAATACTGAGTTAAAGAAATGGACACAGGTGTTTTTACTGTTGACTTTCCCAACCTAGAAACTTACAGAGGTGTACTGATCAAACCCTACACCCCACCCCACCCCCGGAAAATTTAGTTATATCCAACAATCTGGAGCTATCAGGCTGAGGAAATTGTTCTACTAGAAATGATCAACAAATACTGTATACAACTCCTCTTTTGCTGCAGATTTAATTGTGAGCTGATAAGGCTAGCATCTCTATTATTTGGAAGTACTCTTTCTTAAAAGTTTAAAGTATTTTTTGCTACACAAAGCGGTATTCTCAACCATTCTCTATTAGAATTTGTCCCATTTATTGATTCATTTCCCTTATCCAGATTCATTCTTCATCCATTTAGTCCTGTATTCTTTGCTTGGAGTTGCTATGCCTTAGAAAGAGGCATTTATTTGCCCTACATCTGATATTCTTTTAAACTTGAGAGCTGGGCTTGATTTACTATATGTATAATAATACTATTATGCCCTCCCAAATTAAGATTCTGCAGTAACCATATGACCATTCCTAACAACAAGTGATCATATTTGAATGCATATATGTCATACAAATATCTTTTTATAAACAGATGCTCATAATCAAAAAGATGTTGCTGGAATCCCATATTTTGCCATGCCTTGATGGGGATGAGAAATTATAGCAAAATTACCCAGGAATTGATCATCCCTGCTTTTATAAGATCAGTAATCCCTGTTCTTTGTCTGAAGAAATTTTCTCAGTTGAATTGTACCCTATCATCTCTTTCATTTATTTCTATGTGAGTAGTTCATTTTTCAGTATATTTGGCTCTCACTGTATCTCAAAATTGTATATATTTGATACAGAAATTGAGGTAGAAAATGTCAGGAAGGTCTGATTTTGAATAAATCTGGTCCAGTCAAGATTGGATGAATCTTGGGGAACAGCACACCATTTTAGCACTGAGTCTTACTGTATTCCCAAAATTGAAATGAGATAATATCTTATGCTACTTAACAGATCCTGGAAAGACTGTGAAGCACACACAGCTCAGTTCACTCCTGCTCATCAACACAGGCTGTTTCTGTTGACCTCTTCAATGTATCTAATCTTAGGGTGAACAGTGGATGACTCTACACTCAGCACTGACATTTAAGGACACTGCTTAACTTAGTCACAGAAATCAGTTAAATTAGTTACTGATTTTGGGCAAACAGTTATACCTCTGTTTAAAACAGAGTTGGGGGCCAGGTGTCACTTGAGTTTTTGCCATAATTTTCAGCTGGAGATGTAACTATTATATATAACTATTTGTCTTAAACAGAATTTTCTGCAATTTCAGAAATGTCCGGCCCTCTGGAACGATCTCCCCATGGAGATTCGGACCCTCACCACCNAAAGAAAGAAAGAAAGAAAGAAAGAAAGAAAGAAAGAAAGAAAGAAAGAAAGAAAGAAAGAAAGAAAGAAAGAAAGAAAGAAAGAAAGATAGATACAATGGAGAGGAATATGTTTTGGTCAACTTGGAATTTGGGATGAAATGTACACGTGTGGCCACAGGGTGGCACTGTTCCTCCACAGAAAGAATGCAGACTGGAGCCCGAATAACAAAAGCTGGGCATTTTCTGTAACCCAAAAGCAATGATGTCGAGGTAGAACGAGCAGACGCCTGGATAATGAAAGCTTAAAGCTACCCAAGGGTGATCTATTGACACCTTCGTCGCAATACTACTCTCTCTCTCTACTGCTTTAATAAGAGAGCCGAGAAATGTGGCCCAAGATGGAAAGCAAAGGATCTAAGCAGGATCTGCCCCCCACACACACCAAAAAAAGGAAACCTGGTAGTTGTTACACGAATAAAAGCCGTGTCCCTTTTCTCTGCCTTACGCCTATCGCCTTCTTTTCTGTTTTTCTTTTCAGCTTCTTCTATTTTTCCTCCCTTTGTCTTGTTTTATCATTTTTACTGCTTTCAACAGGCGTTTGGATAACCCGATTGTGAAAAAAAATAAATGAAATAATGATGAAAACGGAAGAAATAACACAAAAAAATAAGGATTATCGGTCTGCCTTTGCAAGCAAAAAATTAAGCCCCCCTTGCAGGGGACTTCAAAGCATCTCGTCTGACCAAGAGTTAAAAAAAGAGGGAAGTACCTGCTTTTGCTGTAATGCAAGAAAGGCAGAGATAAGCTCTTTTATGCTGGCAGCAACCGGAAACCTCGGCTGGCCACCTATCAGGGCACGGAAGCTGTTCTGACCGCAGAGAAGCGCTGAGTCATGGAAGAGGCGGCGTTGCAGCACCTTGGACAGCTCCCGTCGTTTCTCGGGGCCTGAAGCGTAACGGCGACCCGCCTTAGCAAAGGCCTTTATTTGTTTATTTTTAATGGATTTATTTATTTGCCAGCAAGTACAAGGAAGCAAGGATGAAAAACACATGGGAAAAAGGGGCACAAATAAATGGATATAATAGCAATAGCAGTTAGATTTATATACCGCTTCATAGGGCTTTCAGCCCTCTCTAAGCGNAAGATGATGAGAAGTGATAATACTGCTCTGTACTGCACTAAAGAGGCCAGACTTGCAACCCTGCATCTAGTTCTGGTCACCACAATGCAAAAATACGTTGAAATCCTAAAAATAGTCCAGAGAAAAACAACAAAGATGATAAGGTAGTGATGGCAAACCTTTTTCTGACAGTGTGCCAAAATTGTGTGCATGCGTGCTACCGCATATGTGCTATTGCATACGTATGCATGCTCGTTCCCACTCAATCCTTCCCACCCATCTGTGTATGCACGTGTGACCCCCACACACACATACATACACGCACAAACACACACACACGGTGCATACACGCACAACCCCTCCCCGGGCTCTGGAGGCTTTCCTGGAGCCTGTAGAGGGTGAAAATGTCCTCCCCCAGCTCCCCAAAGGCCCTTTTTGCACTCTGCAAACCTCCCCAAAAAATGGCCCGTTTTTCATGAAAATGGGCCCATTTTTTTTAAAGGCATGAATAGCTTTGGGGGAGCGCTTGCAGAGTGCTCTTAGGGGGTTGGCCCCCCCCCCCAAAATGAGCAAAAACTGGCCCATTTTTTGTCAAAAAAATTGCATGCATAGCCTTATGGAGTCTTATAGAGTGCTGCTGGTGGGTGGGGGGTGCAAAACACAGTCCATTTTTTGCTCATTTCTGTCCTCCCCAGCCCCCAGGAGTATTCTGAAAGCCTCCATAAGGGTATGCACAGCCATTTTGGTGAAGGGGCGGGGCTTCAGGAGGCAACAAATGCTATATTCAGTGTATAAGACGCACCCAGATTTTCAGCCTCTTTTTTGAGGAAAAAAGGTGCGTCTTATACTCTGAAACATACGGTATTATTTTATTTGTTTCTAAATGTTTACAGATCTCTTTTTAAATTATATTTTCCAGTATCTTCCTGGGTATTAATGCTTGGCTGATTGGTCTGTGGTTTCCTGGGTCTGAGTGTTTTTTTTCTTTTTCCCTTTTTTGACGATGGGAACCACATCAGCTCTTTTCCAGTCCTCTGGGGGTTCCCAGTGGTCCAGGATTTTTGAAAGATGTGGTTCAGTGGTTCTGAGATCTCGTCTGCCAACTTCTTTAGAACTCTGGGGTGTCATCCTTCCAGTCCCAGCGATGTATTTTCATCAAGATCAGGCAGGTGTTCTCTTACCATTTTAACTTTTATTTCTGACTTTTACAGTTATGTTTTTGGAAGGTTGGGTTATAGTTTCTTCTTGTGTGAAGACAGATGCAAAGAATGAGTTTAAGCAGCTCTGTTTTCTCTCTAACGACTGTTACTTCCTTGCCATTTTCTCTCTTTAGTGGACCAACTACTTCCTTGATTTTTTTGTCTTGTTACCTATATGTTGAAAGAAACTTTTTTATTGTCTTTGTTGCAAATATTTGTTCATTCTGAGCCTTGGGAGGATGGGGGAGGGGTTAAGNGGTAAAATTATCAAAGGCTGACTGGTCCGCGGCGATAAAAAGGTTGGGGACCACTGCTGTAAGTGGCATAGAAAATATATCTAAGAGATTGCAATTCTACTGACTTCTATTTCTCATTCAACCTACTCATCCAGTTTACTGATTAGTTCTTAGGGATGGTACAAAAATCATAAGGCTCCAGGTGAAGAAAAGAGATTTCCTATTTCGGCCAAGCTGGAAACATAGGCAGGAATGTGCAGCTCCAGAAGCATCATTGTTTTGGTCTTTTAACATCTTAACATTCATGGGCATGAGATAGGAGAACATTCTCCCTGGTCAAGCATCCAGATTACATTGAATATCTCTGCACACGGCCCCCTGCTGTATGTCCCATTATTCAATTGTGTTCTTTGACTCAAGAACATAGTACATTGACTGAAGAATACACTGTCAGGATAAATGAAACTTCACTGGACATCAGTCTGTTTATCAGTTTGTCTGACTGCCCATCTATCCATCCATCCACGTGCATTTCAAATTTTATTTTTAAAAAATATTCCACATAGCCTGTGAAGGAGTGATTTTTTTCCTTCTTTTTGACTATACTTGTCATGGGATTTCATGTATATCTCATTCATAGATATAAGGGGCAAATTAAGATTGTGTCAACATGACGCCATTCAAGCTGTAACATTATCATTCAATTCTGCTGTTATGAACGTTTCATAATATCTGAGACACAGATTTTGCAGGCTATCATATTTGTTCCTCACAGTCCTCTTTATGGACACCTAGTATAATTCCCTTTAAATATTTACATAAACCTGCAGCAATTATTAATAATATTGGTTGCATTTCATAGTTAATTATTATTTACATATTTTGTATCATCTTCTTGGAAACATTAAAAGTTTATAAAATGCTACCCCATATAATGCTACAACATACTATGAAAACCTTTACATACTGAATATTATTTAGTAAGACCAATAATCAGTAATCTTACTGCTAAACATG